TAGAATAAATTAATCTTGTTTATGGTGAACCCGTTAATCATTCTAAAATGTCCATGCAAGTAAACTAATTAATATAATAACCCACAAAATATCATTAATTAAATAAGTTGCTAGAACACTATAATGATGATTTCTTTCAACTTTTTATAATGTGAAGGCAAATTGTGACACTTATTTGTTAATTCCATTAGTTAAAATTGTTGTATCTATGTGAAAAATAATATTATACTATTGGAGCATAATGGGAACCTAAAGGCATTATAATTAGCATAAAGATTGAGTTAGGTGGCTTGACAAATTATTGCAATATGAAGTAATTTGAGGTGTTTAGGACATGCTTGTCTGCCTTTCAAGAAGCTGAATGTTGGACAGTGTTTATAACTTTGTCGGCCTCAACTCATTTAATTTTGTAGGGCTAATCCTTTGAATATCATGGAATATGGAAACTCCATCAATTCAAGTCAATAATGTTACATACTCACATATATGCATACATACCGTGTGAGGACCGATATTGAGCGTGTAAGAGGGGCAATTGTCACATAATTAAATGAAGAATTAAGTCCTGTTAGCCCCATTAAATTAAATTTCATTTTTCTCTCTCATTTTTTTAACCACATAATTTTTCATAAAATAATATTACATTTAAATTGAAAAATTTTCCTTCTTTTTTAACCATACATTATCTAAAAAAAACATTATTCTACCCATTATAATTTAAAATAACGGGGCCAAGCGTTGTTGTAGACAATAATGAATGACAACATTGATGTTGTCAAAATCTGGTCCATTAATTTTAAAAACAGTTTTTGAAATTGATGGATGTGATGTTGATAAGTATGATTGTCAATCAATATTGTAAGAAATGAGTGTACAAATAACACGGCTCTTAAATGAAAGAAGAATAATCTTTTAAATTTTACACAGGACACTTGCATTCTTAAAACACTCCATGTTAAAGATAGCTCTTTGCAGTATAGTTTATAACATCCATCATTCTATGCGAATACCTACAAAATTGTTTGTCAAAGCCTTCCGATCCTCAAGTCGTGCTGGAAAAAGAATGTTAATATGAAATGAGCAATAGATAATATGAATGGAGGGAGTAGTATGAGTTTTTCCTTCGACCCTGTGCCACCGCTTTCCGTCACATGAATATATGTTATTTAGAAAAAAGTCGATAGTTTATTCATATATGTATAATTATTTTTTTATGTAAAACACATCGACTAAAGTCTCTATTAAATATTGAATATCAAAAGGAAAATAATCATTTAGACTCTATGATAAATTATTTTAAGATTTAGGTCGACAAAAAATCAGATTTTTGATATTGACACAGATCACATCATTGTTGTAATCTAGTTCTTTGAACCCAACATGGACATGTTAACAATAAATTGTTCAATCTTTTCAATTTCAAACAAAAAGAATCGAGAAGCAAAATGACTGGTGTTGATTTGCATTTGGAAAGTATGAAATAAGAATAGTCTATTCCAAAAATGTGGGCCAAGATAGGATTATTGGAATCCGATTTGAAGACAATATTTGTCTATTTCATATACATTGGTCCCATTAATAAAGGGATAATAAAAATTTTTTAAGTTTTTTTTTTTTTTTTTTTTTTTTGGTATAGGAGAAAATTGAATTTATTTTGGGGAGAAAATTAGGAGTGAGCTTAACACACGCAGTGTCAAGTGTGTATTATTTTAGGAAAATGCCGAAATTCCCGAATTTTGGTGACCGAATGGGTGACCGATCCTCACATGGAGCGTAGACCCAGCGTGATTGTGAATAAAATAATGCTCGACCCCCGAGGTGTGAGTTTTCGATCATCCCGCATGTCAATCATTATGTTTATGTAGCATGGTCCATTATTTTATTTTGTACCTCTATGTCTTTCTGCATGTTCTAAGTAGGATTTTTGTTAATTGTCTATTTCACTCTTTTTGAGTTTGTTACTTCTTCTTTTTACCCACAAAAATTTAGTTAAAACAAATGAATAATGAGTCGAAAGGTACTGAATAAGCAATTATATAACGAATTCAAAACGGTCCAAACAGCACATTGGTCCATGCTAAAGTTTTTTTTGCAGAACCAATGCCTAATTCCATTATAGAATTAAAACATCTTTTTACAGCTCAAAATTCATTGAATATGGCTGCCAGTGACGGCTTACACTGTCAATTTTTACAATTTAATGCACACAAATTGGCGTAATTTCAGCGTCTCTATACACAAACCCCAAGCAAATAAATACCTATATAGTAATAATCCAACACAAGCTCAATGAGTATGTTCATATCGTATCAAATCTTTCGTACCATTTAATTAATTAGGTATATTTTTTTACTTTTTAGGCATGCATGCATTCCTTGATTAGAAGGTTCAAGGACCAAGTGTATTGATGGGGTCGATTCCGAGTATAAAGTACTTAAACAATATATAATTGATTTAATGGTAAGCACCAAACATGTGCGGTTCGACAAATTTAACTCCTCTTTCTTCTTTAACTTTACTTAAATTAGTGATCGAGAAGTAAAGATCAAGAGATAGTATAAAAGAGGGTAAAAATTGAACACGACAATAGGTTTATAGCCGCGAATGTGTTGATGAAAATTGTAAGAATAAATGTATGACAGAATGTACGAAGGAATGCTTTGGACATTGGTTTGTGGTGATAACGAACTTCATCGAATTGTTAGATTTTTCTGACATAATTCAGAATTCTTTGGACTATGTTTGCAAGTGGCTTCAAATATTCTCGTTCAAATTGGATTCCAATGCTGTTAAAAAATAAAAAAAGTGTCATTTTTGTACTACATTGCTACAGGGATCCCATGCAAAATATATTCTGATCGAGTATGATAAATAAATTTTTAGCTTCTTTATATTTTGAATATTATCGAGCATTATTCAATCTTCCTTCAAAAAAGTGACAAAAGTATTTCCGAGGTTAATAACCGATTTTTTTTTAGATTCATAGACATGCAATAAAGTGAAAATTGACTTGAAACTGATTCCATATGACAGACTATAATTAAGTTAGGACCGAGCGTGATTGAGTACAAGTATCTAAAATTAAAATTGCCATTTATTAACAGAGCATATAAGAATATTATGATAAAAGCTATAATAAAATAGAAGTAAGCTAGAAGTAAAAATTTAATATTGCTTGGAAATTGTTAGATATATAATGGCTCTAAAAGTTACTAGCAATGTGGAATTGTCTCAAACATATAATATATCTAAACGATATTGTTGACCTAAGTAAGGTAGTGCATGTCACGTTGCAAGACTAAGTAATTGGTACACATTATTATAATATGTGAGAATTTCTATGTTTTGGGGCATAATGTTGACTCAATACGTGTAACTTTTGAGGATTCATTAATATAATACACAGCTTAGATAAGATCAAAATTTATAAAACCAGAGATGTATGACGAAGTTTACCGATTATTTCATTGTGAGAGTCGAATAAAATAAATATTCATGTTTATCAGTCAATAATATTGCTATCATAAACCGTCAATTCCTATGTACAGGAATGAAATGAAAGTAAATATAAGCAAAGCAGTCAAGACGGTTTACCCCAAAATTGGTAATACGTAGTGGAATTCATTAATTTGATTTTTGAAATAAGTCAATTTTTTTAGTCAAGTCGATTCAGATTATTCCAACGTTTTATTATTATTATTATTTATTTATTTTTATTTTTTTGCACAAAAAAACTTTTTACCCCACCGTTGATTACTTCGGCCATGAAATATACCACCTAAAATTGATAGATACAGGCACGACTCATTGTGGACACACTGGTCATTAACATTTTTTGCCGTTAATATTTTCAATTTTTTTTATTTTGGAGTTATATTTTTATGTTTCATATGCACATATCATTGGGGGTGGGGGTATTTTTTAATATTTGTAGTCATAGATAGCATTGAAAATTACGAGAAATAATTGGGTTATATATTTAAGAATATTGGTTGAGGTACCAAATCTTTAGCTGGCAAACAACAAAGCAAACGCATGTCAACTATCGAGTTTCTTCCATCCATTATTCTGTCAAACAATAATTATCCAAAATAATAAAAAAATTAACAAAATAGCCTGTGATAATGTTGTTAATTTATTATATATACTAGCATTATTTACCCTAAATATATTATTCACCATATAATATCATTTTGATTTTTATCATTATGCAACGCTTCTCTTCATAACAATGACACAAAATCATGTTCATACTATACAAGCTGTAAGACTATATAAATGCTCAAATCCAATGTCGAAAGATTTAGGAAGTTGGTGATCTAATATTAGCTTTTAGGGAAGTCAAGAATGGAAGCCCTAGTAACCAAATTCCGAGTCAGGTAAGTTTTGACCTTGTCACTAGGGATCATGTCCATCAAGTGTCGAAATGTTTAGAAAAGTTCGTAACCTATTATATGGGGTGTCGATAACAGAAATCCTAGTAGCCAAATTTCTAGTCGAGTTTGACCTATATAAACATCGCAACAATCTAGATTCTTGATAGTGTCATAGAATGAGACTCGAAGAAATAAATTTGAAGTTGTAATTTTAATAAACAAATTTGCAATGTTTATACCATATAAAAATTGGCCAACAAAAAGAGAGGAAAAAAAATAATGCAGAGTGATAGAGACCCATTCTTAGGATCTCAGCTATGACAGCTAATAGACACGGGAAGATCACAAAAGAGAAGAAGGTCAAAAAGAGAAGACACACTGTACAATATTATAAATGGACCACCTAAAAACAAAAACTTTGACCCCACAGTAAAAACCCTAGAACCCATTATCCTCGATCCCAATACACATTGCATTGTAAATTGACTGAATTGCCCACCACTGGGTTCCTGACACGTGGCAGGCAGATTCTAGAATCTTTGAAGAGTCAAAGACTCAAAGGTCATTGCTTTATTTGGTTTGGCATCAATTTCTTTAGGGACATCAAATTTTCTACTAAACAAGAAAAAAAGTGCTTATTCAAGTTACATTTCCAAATTATAAAACAGAGTGTACAGTAAAGAGAGAGAGAGAGAGAGCAAGAAACACGAGCCCATCTTTTCTTGCTTTCTCTCCTTTTCATGCGATTACAACTCTTCCTCTGCTCCAAGGCACCCTCTCTTTCAAAACAACCAAAAAGAAAAGCAAAGTACAACATTTATATATTTGGGGTAGGGCATTTAAGGTATAGGTCCGCTTTCACATAAAGATGTTTAGAAATCTCACAAAAAAAAAGATTCCATAATTTCTTAATCTATATACAACCCTCTTGTTCCTATAATCTGTACAATTTTCATTATCAAAGTCCCCTCTCCCATATTTTGAATCTTCTCTTGGGGGAAAACATGTTCTTTACCTATGTCTATCTTTCAAATCTTAACATTCCTCGGATACGCCAAAAATTACTAATAAAATGAAAAAGAACCCGTAAAACCAATATTTCCCCCACCCACATTGGATGTACAAATAACTTACTCCTAACAATGGCTGATCCACAAAATTCAGCCATGAGACATTGAGAATATTGGCCCATCGATCCCAACAAATGCCATCCACCGCAATGATTATTTCAAGCAAAGAGTGTCGTTCCCAATGTCACTATATGCTGCTCAATCCAATACCATTCAGTATATCAAAAATTGCGGTTTCTCATATGTGTCACCTATCCTCAACGAAGGTTCTCCCTACGAAATCCTGGAATCTCTTGGAATATAGTTTTGGGTCAACAACTGAAATTGAGGCAGGATCTACCTGCCAGGATTTGTATGCGTGTTCTAGCTTCTTGCTGATATCGTAGTCTTGTAAAATATCGATGATCCCAAAGTAGAGGATGACTTCGTAAACTTCACCACTCCTAGGAGGTGCCAAATTGCTAAATTCAACAGAAGTGTACTGATTGAAATCGCTCCTTCGAACCACTCGCTCTGCTCGGGCCGGCATGTTTGCCCCCAGCCTGATCAAGGGTTTCCTGATGAAGAACAAATTTAAAAGCAAACTCAGGACTTATCTCGTAGGAATTTACTGAGACAAATTCCAACGAAGAACCAATTGATCTTCATAACATAAAGAATACGAGAAATGCCTACCTGCCAGCTAGAATCCTATCCATGTCTTGTAGTTCTGCTTCAAGGAAACGACAACCTCGCATGAACTTTTCATTTTGAAATGAATCGGTCTTTCCTGAGATGTAACGAGATTCATTTAGCATTCTTACTTCCGCACAAAATAATCTACCAAATTAGGAATTATAATGACACAATACAGTACCTGTCCGCAACATAAATGGTGACAAACCCATTTTGTCGCCGCTATTCTCATCACGGAAGTGAAGACCAACCAAAAGACTGTAATCCATGATTCTCTCCGCCTCCAAGAACTCACAGTCCCGATGTATTTGTCTGCCAAGATAATTTGACAAAATCAGCGAGCATTCCAATAAATAGATAAAGTTAGAGACATAACAGAGCAACAGGATACTCACTTGATCAGTTCTTGATACCAATTGCTTTGTAAACGAAACACAAAATTAAGGTCAAGGTCCTTAAGAGTAGTGGTTTCATCAATTTCTCCTTCAGGCTTATCCGTTGTGCGGCCATGGGATGATCCTTTCAAATCAAACCTTCTATGGATCCGATAATCCGAGCAAAACATATTTCCCATCACAATAAACCGTGTCTAATATACAATGATGTAACAAGAGTTAGTAACAGGCAGGAAGTTTTTTTTATCTACATTGAGAATTGAACTATCAACATCAACAGCATACCTTGACGCCACCCACTGGTTTGACACAATGGACACCATAGAACTTTGTGACGAGAGAATTTTCATATCGAGAGACGTGTTGGTAATATCTAGGAAGCATCTTAATAAGCACCTGAAAAACATTATGAAACATCAATTAGCAAAAGTCATTGACGGTTTGATTGAACGATGGCTTATATTGAATAAGAAAGTTCAATTCGAGGGGCTAAATAAACATTTTGATTGCTGTCAAATATGCTATAGTCATAATTCTGCATCAATTCTTTTAAATTTCAACTAGTCAAAGTAGGAAACTAACCTTGACTTCCGATTTCTTCGCCGTTTTGATCATAAACCTATCATCCTGTGTCAAATAAAAGAAACTTCCACTTTTCCCAGGAGACGATAGCTCCCTCAGAGCATCATTCCCACAAATGGCTAACATATAATCCGCAGGATCGACTTGAAAAAGTTCCCTTAAATGTCTGGTAACACAATAAACCAATCATCATATTAAAAATCCAATCGGCAGGCACAGAACATTAAATTTTAAAAAACATAGCAAAATCTCGTTCCAAGATTCTTACTACAGCCTAATTAATGAGGAACAGTTACCTAAACACTACTGGACAATAATCCTTCCACCTGAAGTCCGCAGATTGATGAGGCGGCGTAAGCTTTGATCCTTCCGGAGGAAACCGAGTCCAAAACTTCTCCATCGGATCAAAATCACTCTGCTTGAGATCGCGTACTAGAGAAGCATGCTTTCCAGTAGAATACCTAACAACATAATCACAAATACAATAAATACTCATTTTAGCAACACCCAACGCTTAAAAAATTGCTATGGATGAACAGCTAAACACAATCTATCTTAATCAACTTTGGATTAATTTTTACCTAATTCCCAGTTGAAGATTGAGCATAAGATCATAATTCTTGTGCCCTTTGGATATAGTCTCTCCTGGCTTCTTCACCTCTCCACCAAAACAACAGGGGTTCCTCCGAAACTTCATAATCCCATCCCGGTCCAACCCCAATCCATCCCTATACAGCATTGATGCCTCCATATTGTCAATAATATCACAAGTGATATCCCCAGCCTCACCATCCGACTCCCAAATGCATATTCTTGGAAAAGACCTCTCAGTCATCCCACCATCCACGGACGATCTCTTCTTCCCTGCACTACCAACTATGGCTACGTTTACACTCTCTTCCCCCACCGTCATCAGCGCCGCTGATGACAACTTCTGACTAAAGTACCCCTTCAAAGCCCCCTCACTTCCATTTCCATTCATTCCATTGGACTTATTGCTAGTGTGGGCAGGGTAAAAAGTACCATTCAAGATTTGATTACTGTTTTTGCAAGAATCCTTGGACCAGCAGCCAATGTAGCAGCTACCATCAGGCCAAGTGAATACACCATCACCCTTGGGAACCCCATTCTCCCAATTCCCATCATATCTATTCCCATTGTTCCAAACCAAAACACCCCTTCCATTAATCATCCCATTCTTCCATTCCCCTTTATACTCATTCGCATTCTTCCATACATATCTTCCTTGTCCTTCCTGCAAATTCTTCTTCCAGTGTCCTTCGTAGTAATCCCCATTACTGTAATGCTTCACTCCATACCCGTGCTTCCGATCCGCCGTCCACGACCCTCTGTACATATCTCCGTCAGATCCAACGAAAGTGCCCGAACCCTCCATCCGACCTGACTTGAAATCGCCTTCAAAAGTCGCACCCGATGGCCACGAAAATTTCCCTTTACCAGAGGCTTTCCCCCTTCTCCAGTCACCTTCATACATACACCCATCTTTCCACAAATACTTACCGGATCCATGAGGCGTATTGTTTGCAAAAGTCCCAATATACAGATCCCCATTAGGAAGGTGCTTCTCGATCATATCAGCTGCATTTCCTGAGGGTGAAACAGACGTAGGGGTGACTCTACGGCATATAGCTTGAGATTTGCTTCTGGGTATAATTATAACTGATTTTGGTGTAGTGGTGGTAATGGTATTGGGTGCAATCTCTAATTTCTCTTCATTTTCTTCCTGCTCTAATTTTTTCTTATCACTCTCTTCGAGCGATGCTGGTCTAATGAACAACAAAGGCTCAGGCATATTATCTTGAAATCAAACACAAAAAAAGAAAGAAAAAATTCTATCTTTATCTGGGTATTAAATATTTTTTTTCTGGGATTGTTAACTATAGCCTGAAATGTTGATAAACGGCCAAGAAATACAGGTTCTGTAGCATTTTCTGGCCAATTTTTTGGTTGGTTCTAGGTGGGAATCCTAATAAACAGAAGAGTAGAGGGCAGGTTTCTAGAGAGAGAAACAAGAAGCTGAAGAAGCAAGAGAAAAAGGTAAAAAGATGATAAAATGTGAATGAATGAACGAATCAGCGCGTGATTATGTGAGAGAGAGCGCGGTGAAATTGGGAGTATTGTGCCAGCTTTGCATTTTCATTCATTGTTTAAGCTTAACCATGGCCGAATGCAAGTCACCTCCATACAATACGCATATAATGAACAGTGTAAGTAACCGTCATCATTAAAGACGAATATGCCCTTGGGATTTGAAAAAATTTAAGAAACAGTAGCCAACGGATTAGTTTCTCCGGTTTCATCGTGACGTAGTGGAATTGCCTAGGAAAGAAGGTAAATGTCATATGGATAATTGCACAATTGGTCCGCAACTTATTATCAATACATTGTATTAATCCATGGGCTTTAAAGAGAAGCAGGTTAGTCCCAAGCTTTCAAGATAATTGCACGATTATTCCCCAAACACAGAAGCTATCAACAATTCTGTTAAATTGTCAAGTGCCCAAGAAAAAAAAGGATGAGTCCGAACTAAGTTGTAAAGCAAAATATAGCTTTACAGAATTATATACATATAAGTATTATGTGACGATTTAGCACTAGTTTGGATGAGTTCTTAAATGGAGATTGATTCTAGCAACTATTTAATGTATTAAAATGTTTTGTTGTGATCCTCGTGAAAATGTAGATTTGCTTCAAATTTATGGGCATCATCGACTGTAAAACGAAATGTAGCTTCATAAAATTAGAAATGTGAGAACAAAATTTGGACAATTGTGTAATTATAAGGAAAGGTTGAAGACCAAATTTTAACTTTGAAAAGATTGAGACCAATTGTCTAATAGAGTAGTAACATGTTGGAGAACATCGGTAATTTCTCCAAGGGCATAGATGGTCTTTCATGAATTACAAATGTACACTTCTCATTATGTTCAATTACAAAATTGCTATTCATTGTGATTTTGTTTCTATAGGGTGGTCCATGTCTGTTCTAGGTGAATCATCCAATCTTCGATATCTTATTCATTTTTGGTATCTTCGGGTTTAAATTTTGGATGGATTGATAATCCTAATTATGGTAATGATTAATAAATTCCATAATCTAATTTTATTAATTAAAGAATCTATATTTAATGGGTTTGGCTAAAGCATTATAATTTTGCTAGTTGTACATAAAAATAATATATAAGCAGTTACCGAAAATGATGTAGACGAAAAATGTTGATTAAAAAAGTTGATACTATTTTAAATTGACAAATTATAGAATGTCATGTGTATATTATGTAATTCCTAATATAAATTTTGATGTACATGTATAATGACTGGTTATGGGTTCCATATTGAGTGAGCCACGAGATTAAGATAACGAAATCGGATGCATATGATACTAAGTGGCACAACTTTTGTAAAGCCACACCCGTAACTTACAATGCACTCCTAACTAACATTAATTCGACTATCTTGCATTTCGGTCCCATAATGACACAAGGGAAAGATGAGAGTCGCATGACTTAGAAAATTTGCCAACATTGGTCTAGACTTTGATATCGATCCACCAAAAGCAATAATAATAATAATAATAATAATAATAATAATAATAATAATAAATAAATAAATAAGAACTTTCCATATAAGCATTGGAAATGGTGGTGTATAATGAATTGTAAAGGTGTAACAAACCCTAGGTTTAGCGTAGTGTAGGCCCACAATGTTTACTAGTGAACTAGTGGTTGTCCCTTTTGGCTTCAATGATCTTAATCCATTATTGGAATTTTGAACAAGATGCTAGTATGTGAGCAATGGTCACTTTCATTTCTAGTCAACAATGTGATCGAATGAAGAGAACATTAACGAGATTGAACAATACTATATATGACAATAATATATAAAATTTTAATTTTTTTAATTGTTAATAATATTCAGTATTTTCTAGTATGATACATTGAATATATCTACAATTTCTACATCGAAATAGAATTTGTTGGATAGCATTATTCTAATATCCAATGTTATCCAAGCTAACATATTGTATATACTGAAAGAGCCTAGTCAAAAGGAATTCTCGGGTTGGTAAGAGTAACCCTAGGTTATCAAGCAATCGATAGAATTTTTACATTCTTTTTTTTGAAAATGTCTAATATTATTCGGTCTGAACACATTAAAGATTCCATATAATGTCTACGTCAAAAGGGTGTTCCAACTTGGTAAAGTTTGTAAAGTTTAGCTTAGCCATATAATCCAAATCTAATTATAAATAATGGCCTAATCTTTTGTCATCATTCTCTCCTAATGGTCATTTCTCTATTAGGATTTAGTTTCTTCTTAATTTTGGAAATCCTTTTGGCGCAAAGAAATTTAGCCACAAGCCTCATTGGCTCATTCGTTGAAACTCATTTTTTTCAAATTCATTTTTTAATTATATATTCTTTCAATAAAATAATTTTATATATAAGTTCAAATTTTTTTTTCTAATTTTTAACAACACATCATTTCAAAAAAATCATTTTTTATAAAATTTATTTTCAAAAGGCCAGACTCAAACATGGCTTACTTGTTGCACCACAGCCCAAATTGACTTCCCAATTGTGAGAAACTTTTTTTTTTTTTTTTTTTTAAATGGCAGTGACAATTACTTATCCAATATGAGTTTTCCCTAATAAAACTTTCCAATGAATTGAAATGAAAAGATCCCTAATTTTCTTCTTTTGAACAACCCTCGTTTTGCATATATAAACTTTCATAGCTCCCAAAATCATAAAGAATAATATAGTGTGTGAAATGTGGGGTCTTTTCCACTTTTCAATACAGCATGAATATGAATGATTTTTCAAAAATGGAAATGAATTGAAGATGAAACAGAAAGATAATTGGTCTATGAAACAAATTGAGCCCATTGGTTGGCTAAACAATGTATTGGACAGCAGCTAAAAGTATTGAATGCAAGAAGTTAATAGGGATGCAGATAAGTGAGAGTATTGAGGGATTGTCCGGTTCATATTTGGTAAGTTGAATCGGACACTTAATATAATTGAAGATGAGAATTTTTTTTTGTAAAATTTGTTAATTATTCAAACTAGTATATTAAATACGCAACTGAAGCTCGTTCGTATAGCATCGTTTTGTAGAGCTTCTTCTTTTTGTTAGAAGAGCTTTCAGATGAATCTACATTACGCCAACTTTCTCGAAAAACACTTATAGTCAAACAAAACAGTTTTATAAAATTATTCAAATATGTTCAAAATTGTTTTTGACTTTATAAAAATTCTATCGAACAGGCCCATTATAATACGTTCACCCATATTTCTAAATATAACAAATAAATTTTCAGTTAAAATACCATTCAAGCTTATGTGTGATTCTAACGCCTCCTCCTAAACACAATAGGGGAGATTGGTAATACCCCTAACATGTTTATTGATAAACTTGTGGAAGACACAGAGAGAACATTTTATAGATCAAATAAATCACTTCAACCAGTGTATAATATCACTTAGGGTGTGTTTGATTACATTTATTTTCCATGAAAAATATCAGTTTTCCACCCAAATTCCTACTTGAGTGTTTGATTGCTATTTTTTTTCATGAAAAACATTTTTCAACTTTTGAAAATATGTCTAATTTTCCTTTTTTTTAAGGAAAATATTTTTTTTTGGTAGAGGTGATTTTTATTTTCCACAAAAGATAGGAAATATTTTCTTTTTTAGGTGATATTTTCCATTTCAATCACACACATTTTTAAAGAAAAGCAAAATCTTCATTTTCAACAGGATCAATTTGAACGCAATCTACATATATCGTGTCAAGTTATTTGAATGTGAGATTTAAACACGATGGATGTAAAAATTATTCATCTAGAATTTGTGGAATAAAAAATGGCCAAGAATCAAATACAAGCTCCTAGGCTTGTCCATTCCCATTTATTCTCCATGCCCACATTTAAATTAATAGGGTCAGCTCTTTGATAAAATTATTAAATTATTTCAATAATCCATTTATAAAATATTTGTATTTATATTTTCCATTTATAATCTATAAAAATAAAATAAAAGAGCAATAAAACCCATGCTCTACGAAATAAAATTTCCTAAAGATCATTTTCAACACGATTTTATAAATACATATAGTATCAATTATACTGTCTAATTCTATTTAATATGGTAAATAATCTAACTTTCGAAACAATTTGTTAGACCCACCGAACATGCACTAATGTTTTTAATGAAAACTAAATTAAAAAAAAAAAGAAAAAAAAAACAAAAGATTGAAAGAATATTTTTTCTCTCTTCCAAAAACGGCAATTTGTTTGTAAATCAAAGAAATAGGACCAAACAGAAGCTTTTAACAGTTGGATTTCCAGCTGGCTGATGGTTCCATGTCGTCAACTTGGGCCCACTTATGATCCGCTGATCTGCTGCCACCTGTCCTCTTTCGGTCGGTTCAATCACAAACCACTAAAAAAATATTTTTTCTTTGACTTGAAATTAATTTTAAATAGATCCCACGCAAAAAGGAAAATCTTAACGACGTAGAAAATATCCAATTCATTCAATCTAAAATCGCTCTTCTTATGGCTTAAAGATCAAACGAATAGGATTAATTAAGAAATATGTCTCCGAAGTGATTGATTATTGGAGGTTCGACTGTCTTAATTTGAACTATATGAATATGATACTAAGCTAACAAGGTAGTTGATTATTTTCTTAATTATTACATATAATTACCATTAAGCTAGGGGTAATTAAACAACAATATAGCATTTTTTATGCCCCGAAATATTAAGATCCGCCACATGTAATTGCTTGATTAAAATATATATGAATGAAAATAATTCGATAAATAAGCTAAAATTTAATGGACAAGGTTTTGAAATCGAAAATCGAGCTAATATTTATCCAAAATCAAACATAAACTTAAAAGAATGAAAGAAGACTTATTCACGAAAATTAAAATATTACCGGGGTTTGGATTGAAATCGACGATCAGAAATTAATTTGACTAGTTAGTGATTTTTTTTTTTTCGATAATAAATTTATATGGAAGAAAGAAACTAAAATTTGTCTTTTTTGAATTTAAGAAATGGTTGGAACTATATGTCAATGTAAAATACGTTTTGCACTAGCTTTTATAAATAAATGACGTCAAAATAAGAACTCATG